GTGATCAGCTTTGCCACTTTACTGTGCACCGTGGCTGCACGGCCTTCCTTCAGCTACCTGGAGAATCACTTCGCCCCCGAGAATGAGTCAGTGAAAGTCCGCTCAGCTGCCATTAAGAGACTTTTGGAGGTTTTTGGCATGGAGGACCCCCCTGCTATCCATGGACACAAGCAGCCACCTCAGTACATGCTTGATCTGTACAACACGGTCGCTGATGTGGACGGTGTGACCAAGGACCCTTATCTTCTGGAGGGGAATACTGTCCGTAGTTTCTTTGACAAAAGTAAGATCAGATTCGGAGCTACGCTGTCAACTGGCTAATGTAAAGGACGAAAGGTAGTCACGTTTACTTTGGTGTCTAACTATGTCATTTCCCCTGCAGTGCGCAGTGAACAGGTGGAGTTTAGGTTCAATCTGTCCACGGTGGCCAGAACTGAGAAGATCCTCACTGCAGAGCTTCATCTGTTCAAGCTGCGGCCTCAGGCATCACTGCCAATCAGCAGACACCATTTCTGCCAGGTATGTGAACCATACATCAGAAAGCTCAACTCAATTGTATGATAAATGGAAATTCATCCATCTCATATTTAGACATTACTAAACTATTGTGTTTCTTCCAGGTTAGTGTTTTTCAGCTGCTGGACATGGCCAAAATCAACAACACACAGCAAAAGAAGCTGCTGTCTTCTCGACTCATGCCAGTTCACTCTGCTGGGTGGGAAGTGTTCACCATCACACAGGCTGTAAGTACAGGCCTATGCACTTCTCTTTAAAGCAGCTACTGTAAATAAACAATAAAGAGTTCATTTTACCTGATTAATGTCACTTTCTCCATAAAGGTTCGATCCTGGATGGCAGATGACGGCAGTAACCTGGGGCTCCATGTGGTGGTTCGGACCCTGGGAGGAAGCCAGATGGATATGAAACATATCCGATTTGCTTCAGGTCGCAGCCACCACCAGAGCAAGCAGCCCATGTTGGTCCTCTTCACTGATGATGGCCGCCACTCTACTGCTCTTGAAAGAACAGGTGAGACTTATTAATAGTGTCAGCTCTAACTGGTTGGTAAGGTCATATCCAGTGAGTAGAAAAAGACATTTGTGGTCTTACTGCTGATAAGCAGGGGCACAGGTAAGACTTATGGGGCCCCCGCCCCCTTTCTCCTCTCATCACTATTATATGCTTTATGACAAGAATTTCTATGTAGCCACCAACAACATAAGCACATCTCTGTACATGTTGTACTTAGTAATCACTGATGGGAGTCGTGTGTTCAAGTAATCAAGCCAAACTGGAATACAGATTAGTCCAGTTTGTTGCAGTTAAAACAAAATTTCCTGTCTCATATTCTTGAAAAAAAAAACTGAAGCTGATTTATGTATTTTTCAATCAACTCATTTTCAAAATCAGAGCAATTTATAAAGAAAATATTTAGAAATATCAGGGACCCTAAATGGTACTTTCACATTAGAGGATCCGCTGGAGCCTAAAACATAAACTATACCTCAACTGTGCATTCTGTTGACCTGCTATGATTGACACAAAATACTGCAATATAACGCAATGTGTTTCTATCAAAATGCTCTCCTTGCCTCTTCTAGACCCAAATGATAGTGGAGCCACTTCCAGCCTACTCCAGGTGCCCATGTCAGGTCCGTCCTCCCGCAGCGCCCGCTCTCTAGAATCCAGCGAGGAGGAAGGGGTCTCTATGTCCTGCCAGCGCTTGCCCCTGTATGTTGACTTTGAGGAGATTGGCTGGTCAGGCTGGATTGTCTCTCCCAGGGGTTACAATGCCTACCACTGCAAAGGCTCCTGCTCCTTCCCCCTGGGTCAGAACATGAGGCCGACCAACCACGCCACCGTTCAGTCCATCATCAACGCCCTGAAACTGATCAAAGGCATCGAGATGCCGTGCTGTGTACCTGACAAGCTCTTCTCCATCAACTTGCTCTACTTTGATGATGATGAGAACGTGGTACTGAAACAATATAATGACATGGTGGCTGGAAGCTGTGGCTGTCACTGACATCAACTAGTTGCCAGCGTTGAGATGCACAGATATTCATCAAACATACAATTTAAATCAGCTTTTGGCTCATAGACGGCCACACGCCCTTCATAACTGCAACTACTGGGTGATGTGCCATAGTCACACAGGTGACACTGTATTATATGTAAATATCAATAAATTATAATATATGGCAGTGCTGTAAGTGATATCATGTGAAAGATGTAAAAGTGTATATTTTATGTTTTTTGTTGTGAATAATTATAGAACTGGAATAAATGTTGTAAACAGTATTATAGAGTAAATTTCACATAATTTCAAAAACATATTTCCACAGTGTTGCTAATTATGACAGAAAAATAAAATATTGGTACAGCATTTGGTAAAAATTGTACTTTCAACAAAATGCAGTCCTGCATGAATAAACAACTTGTTAGAACAATTTTGCCTAATCTCTGCAGTATTTCCACCGAAAACATCCAAACTGGAAGACTGCTTGCTCTCTAATGACTACAGTTCATACCTACAATCATTTGATTCATCAGAAGCGTTACCAGCTTATTTCTGATAAATCATAAAACTCTTTCCTGCAGTTAAATTATTACTTATACAATCACTTCATACTGACATGGGGATAAATTCAAAAAACATCCTGTGGTCCTGCTGTTTTTAAATTTCTCACAAAATAAAAAAAGGTGATTGAGTATTGCAAAACATTATCATAATTCCTTTACATCAGGGTTACTACATTTACTCAGTAGTTCAGTAGTATGGATAAGATTGGAGAGATACTGTTTTTATGGCTAAAGCTTGTTAATCCACTTAGATGAGGTTCAGGAAAGATGATGGTTACAGTTAACCTGTCAGGACATGAAATTTCCTGCATGAAAGCCACATGTGCTGTACGTGCATCCTCCACCCTTTGTTGGGAACCACTGATTCATGTCACTCATACCAGTTAAAAGGTAAAGATGGAGTACATGTATGTGTCCTACCGTACGTCCACTAGTATTATTTATAATGGCAGGATAATAGACAACATTTCATTTTAGTGTCCTGGTTACTACACCCACTTTTTGTGCAGTGACAACATTTTCAACTTCAGTTTCTGAGATATGTTAAACCTCATAACTGAATGTGAAATTGTACTGGATTATTATATCTACTGAAAGTGTACATCCTCGATCTCAGCTGAAACAACACTTGTCTCCTATCAAAACTATATTTGCCCATTACAAAACACGGTCTCTAAAGAGTGTAATCTGAGCAGTGCCCGAGGCGTTGGCCATAGAGTGGCACTAAAGGGGGTTGATACCACTTGACATGATGCTGGACGACAGCCCTCGCTCATTGTCAAAGGGGCTGCTATTCACAACGGAGAAAACGATGAAATGCTGCTATTATAATGGGGACCAAAGGGCCCCGTGGCAGCCCGACACCTGATCTCTTCTTTGGCTCTGGCTTCTTTTTGTTCCAGTATTCCACATCTGATATATCCACACAGACCAAAAAAAACCACCTGATGTTTGGAGCAGCGATGGACCTGAGGCTTGGCGTTTGCACGCATAAACATGGGGAATAAACAGACCATCTTTACAGCACAGCAGCTAGATGCCTACCAGGTTGGTGTCAGTGTGTTTCTTTCTAAACGAGACCTTTATCTTCACTCAGATTAAATAGTGTTTCTCTTATCAATACTAACTACCGGCATCTATAAACAAGGTTAAACAGACAAAAGAGGTTCTGTGGCTCATTTGTTTATAATCAAAAAGAAAAACCAGGCTCACGGGGTGCACCCAGTCAGAATAGTGCACCGGCCAAAGCTTCCCTTAAGCAGTTGGTTGATTTAGTATTTTGTTTTGTTCATTCTCTAAAAAAGTTCTCAGTTAGTGAAATAACACATTTTTTATCAAAATGTGAATTATGTAATCAGTACATCCGACCAGTGGTGGCACGTAACTAAGGACATTTACACTACTTAGTTACCTTACTGTAGTACTGTACATATGGAAAATTTTGACTTACCAGTACTTCACAGTATTTTCAAGTAAAATACTGTACTTTTCACTCCATGATATTTTTCTCCGAGCTACAGTACAGTTACTCTTCAGATTAATAGAAAATTATGTTTTGTTGTAAATTAAAATACTCAAAAATAAAGTAGTTAAAGTTAGTCCTAGGACAGCGGTGTGGTGGTTAGCGCTATCGACTCACAGCACGAAGATTCTGGGTTTGAACCCAGGGCGGCCCGAGGCCTTTTTGTGTGGAGTCTGCATGTTCTCCCTGTGTGGGTTCTCTCCAGGTGCTCCGGCTTCCTCCCACAGTCCAAAGACATGCAGCTTAGGTTGACTGGTGACTCTAAATTGCCCGTAGGAGTGTGTGTGGAAGTTTGTCCAGGGTGGACCCTACCTCTCGCCCAGTGTCAGCTGGGATTGACCCCTGCAGCCCTATTCAGGAATAAGTGCTATAGATAATGGATGGATGGGAGCTACTACTGCTTACATGTTAATGCAATGTCAGTGATATAATAACAAAACGAATGGGGACCATTCTGCATAACAATCACTTTTATGTTTGATACCTTAAACACATTTTGTTGCTAAAACATTTCTTTTTTTTTTTTTTTACATCAGCACTTACAAACTTTCACTTTACAATTAAAATGACTAGAGTATTATTGTATCAAACAGATAATTAAGCACCATACCGTAAGAAAAGCTGCATCCTAATGGTCTTCGTAAAACCTGCACTTTCCTGCCATGATCTGTTTATATTTGCAGGACTGTACATACTTTACAAGAAAGGAGATTCTCAGGTGAGCATACTGTTTTTGTGTCTATACAGTGAGTAACCTCTAGCAGGGTGGACCCTACCTCTCCAACAGCCCTATTCAGGAAATGAGGACGCAGGGACTCTAGAGGTTAAAACAATGACGTATTATTCCTTAGTCACTGCTGGTGTAACACACCCAAAACAGCTGAATTTTGTTCTATTATGCACAATACTAAGCTGTAACTGTAAACTACAGAGCCAGGAGTCCTGTGCTGCTGTGGGGCAGACAACCACTGAGATCACACTGCATTTAAAATCTGGTTTTATGAAAACACTCTGAGAACTTTACTGTACTGAAATTAACATTATTTTTGAATGATGTGTGTTTACAACAATAGAAAAAAATTGGAAACTGCAGCTAAATAGCACAAGTTTCTTAACTTTTCTTAACCACCAACACAAACACAACAAACATACAACTACATATTACAGAAGATACATATCTTGTAATTCAATATTGAAAGTAAATACTTGAAACCTTTCACTAGACTCTTCTACCGCTATCGGGATTTGGCACCGCAGCTTGTTCCTCTTGACTACACCAACCACCCAGATGTGAGGTTACCATATGAGCTGATTGGCAGCATGCCAGAGCTGAAGGTAGGCCCGCTGCTCCACACACACCCTGCAGACTTGCTCTCTCCCTGTGTTCCCAATCCATAATTAATGGCCAACTAATCGACAGGATTCTTTAAAAGGTTATATGTTACCTGACTCCTTTAAACTTGAAGAATGCTGGTGGGTCCCTCTGGGCACATTTGGATCAATTATATGCCTCTTTACACAATTACAGCAAAGTAAACAGGTGTGTTAACAAGCTGGTCACTGACGTGTACTGAAAAAGTGAGAGTGAGACTGTCAAGATTGTACTTTTCCTCTTCATCATTCATCCAAACCTTGTCAGTTTTGTAGCTTTCTCATTGGAACAGACAAGAACATGAGATCTACAATAATAAATCACACGTTCTTGCAATATCCAGACTATAAGATTGGATCACAGTAGTCCATTTAGTCCTATCATAACACGCTCAAGTTCTAAGTTCTGGGTGATTAACTGCACTGAATCACTCAAAGAACTGCTTTGTCCCCTCTGACCAGGACAACCCATTTCGTCAAAGGATTGCTGAGGTTTTCTCTGAGGATGGAAAAGGAAACATGACACTGGATGACTTTTTAGACATGTTTTCAGTCCTGAGTGAGATGGCGCCGCGTGACCTCAAGGCCTACTATGCTTTCAAAATATATGGTAAAATATCTGAAGAAGTGGTAGTTTTCCTTTTTTTTTTAAAATCATATCAAGGAGTTTCAATTTTCCTTGTGTTTGGTTGGCTTTCCTTTCTCGTCATTTGGGGTCCCTCTATATGTAAATAATAATAATAATGCTTGAAATTAACCACATTTGTTTCCTTTAAATAAATAAAGCAGTATATGAAATATGGGAATCATACATAGGTGCAACAATACTCTATGATAATGGAGCATGAAAAGTGAAGGGTTGTGAAGCTTTGAGCATGACAGATGGTGCATGGAAGGTTATATAAATGATTAACCAACCCATTATAGAAACAAAGAGCTTGCCAAAGCCCAGATCGTGTCAGCACCATTGTCCTGTCTAAATAACATTCGCTGACAGATGAAGAAGTTACATACACATCAACTTGGTCAAGGGTCAAGGAAAAGGATGATAAACTGTAAGAGAAAGTAGCATTATAATGAAAATAGGTAGGTAAATGACCTTCCCAATTAAGGACTGGATGTGTTAGGTGAATGTGTAGACTTAATGAATATGTTTAATGAATGCTTTAAGCATGTATTGCTATACTAGTATGATAAAATCATTGTTTAGTTTCCATCTTGACAAGAAAATAATGGAAAAACAGAGTTTGTGTAATTTTGGCCCAATCTGAATACACTGTATATAAAATAGCTGCAGAAACATGTGACCCTAATTGGGAATTAATTCAGAACATATTAACGATAGCTCTACTGCTCCAACTAACAGGTTTGCTCTTATTAATCTGTTTATTAAATCATTTTGTCCATGTAATACCAGCCTAAATAATCATTTCCGAAAGCCAACTGACACTCACATTTGAGAAGCAATAAGTAGTGAATCTGATGATTTTGTTGAAATTAACTGACCTCATAATGAAAAAAGCTGTGAAATTTAATGGACTAACCACTTCACCTTTAGGTATGTTCTTGTTTTCCAACTTTTGCAAGATTTTAACAACGATGACTTCATCTGTAAGTCAGACCTGGAGAAGACGCTGAACAAACTGACCCGTAACGAGCTGACAGAGGATGAGGTGAGGATGGTGTGTGAGAAGGTGATCGATGAAGCCGACCTGGACAACGATGGACGTCTGTCACTGGAAGACTTCCAGCACATGATTGTCCGAGCACCAGACTTCCTCAGGTAAGCCAGGGGTAACCACTAACCACAGGATATGAAAAAGAGTAAACCCACCTACCTACAATACACAACACATTAATTTAACATTTTATGTACTAATGATACAACGTGCATCTAGTTTCATTGCTCGGCCTTGTCCTGCTAAAGAGAAAATTAAACCCAGACTGTTCTCATTTCTGTTCACAGCACTTTCCACATAAGGATATAAGCAAATGAAGCAATCGTGTGAGTGTATTCATTTTAGTAACACCTAAGGATGGACTGATAATAAAAAGCATTGAAATCCTGACATCTCCACCATTAACTACTAGCAGATCATGTGAATGCTTTTGCTTATTTGTTTTATTTTGTTTATAAAATAAAAACTGTAACCAAAAAGAGCCATAGATTTGATCTGATCTGTTTGGCCACAGATTTTTATCCACCTCACACCTGATGTTTTCCCTGGCAAAATAGCAGGGGGAGAACTACGGTATCTGATGTGCTGTATCCATCCTCTGCATGCTTCTGCTGCGATGTCACCACTTTACTGCGCTGTAAATTTATTTTGAAATGGAAAAAAAAAAATGCTGTGTGCATACTGAGCATACTTGTAAGAAAAGTGAGAAATATTGCATTGCACAGAAGAAACTAAATGTTGTGGAAAACTTTTGGAAATTGAGCCAATGTAGAACTGCTTTAGTTTGTTTGCCTTGCACTAATATATTAATATTGTGGCCTCGGGAATAACACCAGTCATGGTGTGGACTGCAGGTCTGTCATCATGTGGAAGCATCAGCTAATTTGTTAAGACAAGGCTCATTAGTTATGATCAACAGCTGAATTTTGTTTTGTATCTAAGGCAGATTAGTTACAAACAAAACACATGCCAGAATATTCCTTAAGGGCCAATAAAGGGAGAAGCAGTTGTTATGAAAGCAATCAAGTTCCACTGTGGGAAAACGGCGTGAGGTTTCTTCGGCCTGCCAGCCAATAAGAAAAATGGATATTGTAATAATGTGTTTTATCTCTTATTTTATTAAATCAAAAGCACACATATCTACATTCTGTAGATACATTTACATGTGTTTAGAAAGTACAGTACAGTTTAAGTAGACCTTTTTTTCCCCAAAGTGACTTGTTTACAATGTTTTTCTAAAATGTATTATTCTCCCAGTGCACTACACAACAGATGGAAAGAAAATAAGGCTATATAAATGGGTGTACAGTATATTTTGACATGATAGTTTTAAGAAAAAATAAAATCAAAGTGGAAAATGAGACAAAAAAGTCTGCTCCCTAATTTTCTGTGTATGACTTAAAGCTACAGTATCACTCCAATGAGAAAACACTATCTCCACATTATAACACCCTGACTTCATTCATGATCAGTTTTACTTGCATTGATGTAGGAATGCCATTTTCTATAAACAGAGCATGTTCTGTTTTTGGCTCAGTGAAGACAAAACAAAAAAAGAAAACCCCATACTTTTAACTGTACAGGTCTACACGCATGTCTGAAAACTACATTACACAATGAAGTACAGGTCCAAGATTCAGTGCGCTCCACCTAGGAGAGAAATGAGCTTTAACAGTTAAGACAAACGGTTGTGTTGGTCATGAGGTCCCAAATGATTCAATATTAAAAAGGTGCAGCCAAGCAGAAACATATCCTCTCTCGATGTTGTGCATATTGGAGCTTGATTTTCAGACGAGCGATAAATGTAGGAATGAAGCGCGAGTAACAGAGGAAACAAACCTACACTCAACAGCATATTAAATGCAAGTAGAAAATACTTCATACAGGTCTAGTTAACTGTGGCTCATGGCCTTAATAAAATACTGGTTAAAATTTGAGCTTGGATGGTCACTTGGTCCATACTGTGCCTCTGACGCCACCTAGCCGTCAAAGTAGAGGGCTCCAATGAAACAAATGCACAAGAAAATGCACACTAATAGTAACAGGCCAAGGCCGCTTTCATGTAAGCTGAGGAAATATCACGTTTAAACTACAGCTTGGCAGGGCAGTAGCATAAAGATTACAAATTATTTTATAACTATATATAGCTAAAGTAGGTTATGGCAATGTTTTTCAGCAAACCATTGACTGTGTAACTATGGATGACGCATCACCACTTCCCTCCACTATACAAAAGCAAAGCTAAAATTAGTTGAATACGGAGGCAGCCATCTTGGCATTTTGCAAGCCAATTCTGTGCAGTAGTTACCAGAAGTGGAGTGACAGCATACGACTGCCAATCAAAGCTGTCAAATCAGCCGAAACACACCCATTTTTTATATCATAAAATAAAAGTAACCCCACTAGAAAAATGACCACTTGTACACACATCAGCATGATAATATCTACCAAAAACCACAGAAGTGACCTATGGGAAAACCTTTTGGGTTTGTACTTAGTTCAGAGAGGGCAGAATTTATGACCTATACTGCAACCAGCCACCAGGGGGTGAGCAACTCACTGTGGCTTTGCCTCTGTCAGCTGTCATGGCATCCATAATTTACCCAGTCAATGCATCAAACTAATGCCACAACAGTGGATCACTAGCAGTGAAATAGCAAAAGGCATCAAGTCTTTCAAAAGTAGGTGCAGGAATTATGCCAATAATATTAACAAGACTTGTTAGATCAAAACTTTTCAACTAAGTTATTATATTCCAAAACTATTGTTTGGCACAGACCACACACAAAGCACAGGTTACTAGTAAAGTGCAAGGAGAGCTGTCTGGATAGCAGGAGGAGGGGCTTACAGTGTGAAACCTCAAGAACGATTTTAACCGTTACTCAAATACCCAGAGACGTCATTTAGCTTGAGAGCAAGTCATAGCCGCTGCAAAACCTTCATGTCAATAAATTGCTAAACCATGTATTGTGATAACTGATTAATGGCTTTAATTATTCAAGCAAAACTAAATATTTTCTAGTTCAAGCTTATCAAATGTGAGGATTTGCCACTTTGCTTCCTCTTATGTGATAGTGAGCTAAAAGTGTTTGGTCTGTTGGTCAGACAAAAAGACATCAGAAGACGTCACCTTGGACTTTGAGGGATTTTTCACTATTTTACATACCAAAGATTGAACAAAATTGCTTCTGCCAAAATCACAATTTTAACGTGCTTAACTGTGGAAGTACCTCTGGCTATGTTCCATTTTCCGGTTCACACAGCGTACTCAAAAACACTGCACATACAACACTTTCTTGCAAGTTAGAACACCAGAGAAAGCTTAAGCAGAAACAATTCACCTCACCAGAGTCCTGCTGATAATCTGACAGCACAACCTGACATACACATGTAGACATCTGGATTGCATCTTTAGGTTTTGTGCTGCCAAACTGTCTTAAAAGCTTTTCAAGAAAGGCTGAGAAAAGCCGGAGGCCATGTATAACGATGAAACAAATTTTTAGTCACAAGAAATGCCCACTGAGAACTAGACACATTACCAAATACGTGAACTAAAATGGAAAACCTTTCAGAGCAATTCCTTTCTGACCCTTGACGTCATTATGCTTAATAAGGCTCTTACCTGCTGAAATGTAACGAAAGCATGCGCAGTTCTGTTTCACTGGATTTCAAGCCTATCAGTCTCTGGATGGCATTTATCACATAAAAAAAGAAAAAGCACTAAAAAAATAGATCTAAATATTACCTTTGTATTTATAATCCCCAAACCTTGAAATTAAATGTGTTCTCCTTCATGGTTGTTCTACCAGCTGTATGTAATATGAACGCACAGGAAAAAAAAAAAGAGATTAACATCAGAAGTATGAGTGTGCCTTTGTGTAAAATGGAACATGTGGACAATGCTCCAGGCTGAGTCCTTCACCAGTCATGAGGTCTGACCCATGAAGACAAAAGATCTTAAAAAAGTGGAAGAGATGCACCACTGGAAGCTTTCAGAAGTGGAAGGGAGGAGGGAAAGTCCTCCATTTACTGGGAGTGTAATGGTTTCTGTGGGAGGACAGGCAATTGGTTTGGGAGAAAGAGGGAAAGGGGTGGAAGTGCTGAGAGCAAGCACAGTCCATTTATGTCCAGCCAGCTGGCAGCTCAGAGCGCTCGGTCCTCAGAGTAGGCTACAGCGGAAGAAGCTGATCTTTTTCTGAGGCTCTGAGATCTTGACACCATGACTGCTCCCCTGTGGCATGTTGCCGTCCTGCAGCAAAACAACAAACATGTCACGGCTCTGTAATGTTGGCTCAATGGTTGCTTTCATATTGTAAATCTTCATTTATTTTCCACAACCAGAGGCTCCTGGCTATTATTTTTCAGAAATTTGGAAATGTTAAAAACACTGTGCACAATAAAATCTTCAAGAATCTGTCATATTAAAGAGCTCATCTTACCAATTTTGTGTCCATTTTCAATTTGATGTCTCTAGCGAGTGTTAAAAATGCCTGTGAACCAGAACAAATACACACCATCACATCACATTTGTGATACATCTAAGAAGCACACTAAACTGAAGAAGAATGGTACTTACATTTTCCACATTGATGTTGGCCTTTGCACTGGTCTCCATGAACTTGATTCCATACTCTAATGCAAGCTGAAAGAGAAATGGAAGAAATTACAAAAGGCTACATGTTAGGTCAGTTGATGCGTTTCTCAAGTTATACCAATATCAACACTCAAATATAAACCTCTTACAATAAAATATTTTAACTTCAACAAACTTCTCACCTTCTCCCCCCTCTCTTTGGACACTTGCCGCTTCTCATTGATGTCACACTTGTTGCCAAGGACCATCTTCTCAACATCAGATGATGCATGCTTGAAATTTTAATAGGAGAAATTATATAAAAATTAAAATTAAAAACAACATTCCACAATGTGCTTATCAAGTATCCGAAGACATCACAAGCACATAAAGCAGGTTAGATAAATACCTCTTCTATGTTCCTTATCCAGTTCTTGATATTATCAAAAGACTTCTCGTTGGTGATGTCATAGACGAGCATGATGCCCTGCATAGAATAGTAAATTAAATGTCTTGAGATTAATAGAGCTCCAGAGATGTGGCTTCTTAGGAAAGTGGATTTATGTAACATTTGTCTCTCAATCCATAAAGAAACTCACCATTGCTCCTCTGTAGTAGGCTGTTGTGATTGTTCGGAAGCGCTCCTGGCCAGCGGTATCCCTGGAAAAAAAAAGATTCACCAGAACTGTGACATCTCGTCTTTATTAGAAGTTAGTGTCAAGCCTGAAGACGATGAATTTGATTAACCTGTGATCTTGCAGCCGAAGGAAAACAAAAATACAGATACGAGTGAAATAAAGTGAACTAAAGTTGCAATTAAGAACCTTTGCATTTAATTTTAAAGCAATTCAAACTACTAAGGAAGACTAAAGTTAGCCTTAAGGCGTGTTAAGGAACCCATACATCTGTAAGGAGCTTTACTTTCACTAACGTTAGCATGTGTCACCCATACTTCTTATACTCCAATACTATTGACAATGCATTAAATTACATGTCCAGCAATGAAGGTTTTCAACTTACCATATCTGTAACTTTATCTTCTTCCCATCAAGCTCTATTGTCCTAATCTTGAAATCAATGCCTGTAGGAATAAAGAGGGATCCTGCATATCACTCAACGTTAGCCGGCTGGCTAAGTGGAGCACAAAAAAAGGTCACAAAATCGACATTTATGAGCTAGAAATTAGCGGCACCTCTCCTTCGTGTCACAGTAGACGGTATCGATATGTGCGCTTTTATAGAGCTTAATTCAAGCAGCTAATACATTCCATATTTAAGTCTTTCCGGTGTCTTCCCAGGGAAGGTAGTGACTAAGGGCGAATGTTACAATTATTAGGCTAACGGCTAATGCTAGCTTGCAGGAGAGTCACCCGACAAGAGTTTAAAATACAACACGAACTTTTCTATTAGTACATGTGCCACAGGTGTTCCCGCTTGCCATCTTTTATTAACAAGTTAATTATACTACTGACATTTGAAAACGGTAACATGTTCTTTATTAATGACAAAGAGAAACGACTTCCAGCCTTAGCAAGAGCAAGCATTCCAGCAAATAGACCGCGCCTAGGAGACATGCCATTGTCGTATTGTAAACAGAGGCACACAGTTTACATCAACAAAACTATACCTATAGTTGAGATAAACGTTGAGTTGAAGGCGTCTTCTGAAAACCTGAAAAGGACACAGGTCTTCCCAACACCAGAGTCTCCAATTAGCAGTAATTTAAACAAATAGTCGTATGTCTTCGCCATACTTGATATAATTGCGGAAATCCCGCCCGGGGTAGCGGAGCTGTGTATGTGTAGAAATACCGCCCCCTACTGGCCCGGAATTAACTGACAGTGGGCGTTTTGTGAGATAAAGTACCAGGATTACACTTAACTACAAATTTGAGCTACGCTTCATTTAGTATTTTGATTTTATGGGTCTATATAGTTCAACTACACTACTTCTCTGACAGAAATATTAACTTCATTGGGTAGTTATTATGCTTTTTGCGAAACAGACAACAAATAGCCTAAAGGTGATACATAATTTCTCATATGCAATAGCTCACAACAATGTCTGACAAAGTCTTACCTCATGTCCCACTGAGTACTTAGTGACGTTACTGTTGTGGTGCCAAAGGATGAGCAGCTAAGCTACATCACCAGTTTGTTTTGAGGAATTCACAGCACACACAGAAAACACTGTGCATGTTAAGTGTGTGTAAATTTAGCTGAATCTTTCTCCTGTTACAGTTTGTGTTCAAACTGCCTGAGGGACAAACACATTTCTAGTCCACATACCACATAAAACTCACTTTTATCATCAGTTTTATTTGTGCTCAGAGTTTGATATTTGTCACAATTTTAAGCACAGAAACTAAAATCACCATGGAACCAAAACCATTTTGAAAAAAGGAAAAGAAACAAAACAACCATAAATATATGAAATGGGTACATGTGTTTTAACAACTACAAACAAGAGTGAAATCACAGAGAATGGGTGTCTTGTAGAAAATAAGTTTTACAAAATAATTTTTATTGTTTGATGTTCTTCTTGGCACTTTATAAGCTACTGAGCTCCTGCAGTGTTTGGTCCAGGACTTGGTGCATTTCTATGTTTTCCTCTTTTGCGTGTGATAGGCTCTCTGCAATAAAAAGTAGCAATAGACATAAAATGCAATGGCCATGTCAGTTTGTAACATAGAAATAAGCCAGTAAAATATGGTTTGTTTTAGAGAAGGCAAAGCAAAAGTACAATGACTGTGTACAATATGTGAACCTACAAATTTGGCTTTCTGGTTCTGGCCAAGAATTACAGACACTATGTACTGAATAACTGTACAAATGACTCTATAGCTAAGGCATAAAATGTAAATGTAACTCTGAGTCTTAATTAAGGAAAATTACAGCAGTGGAGTGGTGAAAAGCAGGCTTAATTGAAAAGACAGAAGACAAGACAAAATAGAAATATTTTTATTGAGCTTTACTTTAACAGAAAAAGTGCAGAAGCAGAGGGAGCAACTGGAGAAAAGAAGAAAAAGTAGAGAAAACATTTTCAAAGTTTACAAGCTGGTCATATCAGTGAGAGCATGATCCAGCTCCTCATTGATACCCTTGAACTTCAGCTTCTGATTGTACAGTTCGTCTGCAGGTCAAAGGGCAGAGAGGAAACGGGTGGAGGAGGTTCAGAGGAAAATGCAGAATTTTGCAGATCGTGTGGGGGAATACAGGAGGAGAAAGACAGAAATTAAGGAAAAAGATTAAGAAGAAAGATTTTAACAAAGCTTGAATGAAGACCAAGTAAAGATCACTTGATTGAGAAAAGAATTAAAATGATGTGTGTACCTTCCAAGTCATCTATGGTCTTTTCCAGCTTAGCCACTGTCCTCTCTGCAAATTCTGCACGAGTTTCCGCCTTTGAAAAGGAAACAAACATATTAATCATCCAAACACAGCTTGGTTTTTGAGAATATAGCTTGAGCAGATGTGAACTTACCTCCTTGAGTCTGTCAGTAAGGACTTTAATCTCCTCCTCATATTTGTCTTCCTTCGCAGAGTACTACAGAGAAAACAATTTTACTAGCAAGATCTCAGTGTTTTTATTCCTGAAAATTGCTTATTTCACAATTTCATACTCATACTCAGCATCATTGTTGTAAATGTATTAGGATGACATTTGAGTAGCGCATTCTAGACAGGACTGGGAAATATAAGCAGGTGAATTTAATGGTTAACACTTTCTCTAAATATAGCAAATCTATAAAGCATCTAAATGCTCCTGAGCAAGGCACTCAGTGCTCTGTTGGACAAGGAGGAGTGCAGAGTTGTTGTACCAAACAGAGCACCTACCTTATCAGACTGAGCCTCTAAAGACTTGAGGTTGTTGGTAACATTCTTTAGCTCCTCTTCCAGGTCAGCACATTTACTTTATGAATAAAGAAACAGAAGTTCATTTTTAAATATGTTTTCTTGAAAAACTGAATAATATGTGCAAGCATGCATATCACGTATTTGTACTTACAGTTCTGAAATTTCTGCCCTCTCCTCTGCTCTCTCCAGCTCACCCTCAATGATTACCAGTTTACGGGCAACCTGACATAAAATCACAGTTGAGCAGAGACAAACATTACATCAAGTTCATCGTTAAGCTGAAAACTGAAAGGCAACCTCCGAGTCCGTACCTCATCATATTTACGGTCAGAGTCCTCAGCGATGTGCTTGGCTTCTTTTAGCTGGATCTCCTGAATCTCCATCTTCTCCTCATCTTTCATGGCTCTGTTCTCAATCACCTTCATGCCTCTAAAGACAAAAAAAGACACACACAGTATAGCTCAACAAGTCCACAGAGACACCACAATGTTGCTGACATTACTGAAGCAACACAAAGCAGCATTACAGACTTCACACATGCATTACACTCTAGGAACTATAGTTGGCATCGTCACCATTTTCTAATGTTTTACTGACTAAACAATTAAGTGATTCATTAAAACATAATTGATAAACAGATTTAAACGGATAAGGAAAATTTGTCTGAGTGACTGTGGATAGTGGAGAACTTTGACAAAGTGCTAAAATGTTAACCAGTATATCTGATTTATGACTTCCACAACCATCATTTTCCAATCTTATATCTGATGCTACATCTAAATTACTAATAGTGATTTTCACTATATACAGTGATTTTATTATTATTATTTTTAAATATAAGAACTCTTAAACTCAAGTGATAAATTGTCACCTTTCACTCTCGTCCACAGCCTTCTCAGTCTCCTCTAATTTCTGCAGGGCTGTGGACAGTCTCTCCTGGGCACGGTCCAACTCCTCCTCCACCAGCTGGATCCTGCGGTTCAGAGATGCCACTTCGCCCTCAGCCTATAATAACATGGAGATGGACAGACAGAGAGGGATCAGAGGTCACAGGTCAGCCAGGAAACATGCAGCTGCCACAAGAGGAAGGAGGCTGCTTGGAATGTTGGAGGATTTTTTTTTTTTTTTTTTAATGTTAAAGGGGTTTGGCTCTTGCTTTAAGATTTCATTAATCTTGCAGCTGGTTAGGATTAATCACTTTGTTTATTTCATAATGTCCAATGATCTAAATTTCATGAGCTACTGCTCTATACTCTGGCCATGCATCTGTTCCTGTTTTTCCTGCTTGTGCTCCCTTGTCCAGTAAGTCAGGGTATTTAAGAACAGTCAGTTTCACTCCCAATAACCATGATGATTTCCAGACCAGATACTTTGAAAGCATGCTGACCTTGGACAGCAGAGTGACAGTTTTAACCCCGACATAGATCTGAAGCGGTGAAGCTGGCCTGGCTTTTGTAATGTAATCCCAAGTACT